CTACATAGAGAGTTCCAAGTCAGGTGAGGCTGCTGGGAGACCCTGTCGCAAACAAACAACAAACAAACAAACAAACAGAAAAAGTGAAGCCTAATACTTGAAGTTAAAGAAAAGATTGGACTTTTGGTCAGGGACAAATACACATTTGAGGGGTGGTGATCTCCAGTCATTTTGCTACCATAGGAAAAGCCAACCTGAGACCAAAGCTAATATTATAGATGACCACAGACTGAGAGAAAAGCCAAGAAACCAAGCTGGCACCTTGATTAAGCCATGCCTGAACCCCATCTGGAATTATCAGCTGCATAACCTAAAATTTTGATTCATTTGGTTTTGTTTTGCTGTTACTTATAACTGAAACAGGCAAACTGGTGAATAAAGAGTTTCTGTGGACCCGGAATTACTGAAGACATACTGCTTTTCACGGAGTTTGAGACACTGGTGATTTTGATAAGTTAGCAGGAGAGTCGCTGGGCATTGTGAGTGCTTACCCCAGCCAGGTCAGGGCTCCCTCTGTCACCCTGGATAGGTATCACTGAAACCACAATGGGATCTCAGACCTGTTGTCCTTCCTTAAAGGACAGCGAGCATGAGGAGCCACAGGACACAGGCGGCCTTGCAGGTTCCAGGGACTCAACTGCCCTCTTGCCAATGTGGTGAGATGGAGGTGCCCAGTTGACTGGCAAGTGCCAGGGGAGAGTGTGTGGCACGGAGACCTGCCCTTGGGAGGTCAGCCAGAGGGTGGTGAGCAGTGCAGGGCACAGGTAAAAGCCCCACAGCAGCAGAGTGACTCACCCTCTTGGTAGCCCAGAAGCCTCCCCAGGCATGTGGACCTGTTCCCATGGAGCAGCCACACACTGGACTGGGCCTCCCAGACCGCACCATTGAGCACAAAGCCCGAGTCATGCTGGCATTCCTCCTGACATGGCGCCGGGCAGCTTTCAGGTGGGGCAGGGCAGTGTGGGCGCAGGGCCTGAGACCTGAGGCCCAGATCTGGAAGTGGCTGTGGGAAGTGCATGCTGGTGCTGGAGGGAGACGGGTGAGGGGGTCACATAAGTCTGAAAGCATTGCTCTGATGGAGGCATTTCCCACCAGAGGAGGACCAGGAGCAGGGAGGGCGAAGGGAGGCATCGGGGGACTAATGTGGAGATGTGGATGATGATCATGGAGGTACAGAAGATGGTGGAAGCAATGATGGTGGTAAAGGTGGTAATGGTGGTGATGATGGTGATGATGGTGATGATGTGGAGAAGGTAAAGTAATAGTACTGGTAATGGTGGTGGTAATGATGGTGATGGTGGTGATGGTGATGATGGTGGTAACGATGGTGATAATGATGTTGGTGGTGGTGGTGATGATGCTGGTGGTGTGAAGGTGGTGATAATGATGGTGGTAGTGATGGTGATGCTGTTGCTTCTGGTAGTGCAGGTGGTGGTGGTGATGACGGTGGTGAAGGTGGTAATGGTGGTGATGGTGATGTGGTGATGGTGATGGTATGGTGGTGGTGATAACAGTAATAGTCATGATGGGGGGCTGGAGAGATGGCTCAGCGGTCAAGAGCACTGACTGCTCTTGCAGAGGACCCAGGTTCGATTCCCAGCACCCACATGGTGTCTACGAACCATCCCTAACTCCAGTTCCAGGGGAATCCGAAGTCCTCTTCTGACCTCCGCGGCATTGCACAACACGGGTGCACTTGCAGGCAATACACTCATACACATAAAATAAAGATAATAAATAAAATATTTTTTAAAAAGTCATGATGGTCACAGAGTTCTTGTGCCAAGGACAGTGGCAAAGGGTCTCAAGCTGTTTGTCTGCAGGGCTAGGATCATGATTCAGTGATGGAGCACCTACCTAGACTCTGTCAGTGAGGGGCTGAGGGCATGGCTCCATGGTAGCATGCTTTCCCTAGTGGGCAGGAGATTCCAGGTTCCAGCCCCAACACTGCAAAAACAAATGAAAAAGCCACCACACAGAACTCTGCAGGGCTGCTCCCTGTGGGGCCTGTCCCTGGAAGGCTCCGCGTGCCCAGTGTCCTGCCAGCAGCTGGGAGATCACAGGGTCTCAGCAGGGCCACCTCCAGGCCTCCTGTCTTGCCTCTTGCCCTGCGAGATCTCTCTACCAGTCCCTGCCTCCCCCTTTTCCCCCACTGTAGCCTCTGCCAGTCCCTACTGGCCCTCACTGCCAGCTTCTGCAAGCCTCTGCCAGCCCCTACCAGCTTCTGCCAGCCCTCTCTGCCAGCCTCCACAGTTCCTAGTGCTGTGTTAGGAATGTTTAAGACCTCCAGGCTAGAGAAAATGGTTTTCATCCTGCCTCGGCCTGGGAAAGCCATCGGGTTCCGTAACCAGCTTGGATAGCTTCAGATTCTATCTCTGCTACTTGGACAGGCCTCCCAGCGTGTGCCGTCCAGCTCTGTGGTCACCAGCCCCCAGGGGGCAGGGCCGTTCTGGGCATGTGGCTACAGAGGCTGAGGAACCACTTGTTTCACTAAAGTATTCACACTCAGAGTTTCTGTTTGTTTGTTTTACATTTTTTGATTTATTTTATTTTTATTTTTTTATTTTTTTTTTTTAGGCAGGGTCTCCTTGTAGTCCCAGCTGGCCTGGAACTCACTATGTAGACCAGGTGGGCCTTGAACTCCAAAAGATCTGCCTGCCTCTGCCTCCCGAGTGCTGGGGTTAAAGACGTGTGCCACCACACCCAGCTTATTTTTATTTTTATGTGTATGAATGCTTTGCCTGCATGTATGTAAGTGTACCAGTGCCATGAAATGCCCGTGGAGGCCAGAAGAGGGCATTGAGTCTGCTGAAACAAACAGAAGTTAGAAACAGTTATTAGCCACCATGTGGGTGCTGGGAACTAAACCTGGGTCCTCTGCAAGAGCAGATGGCTCTTAACTTTTGAGCCATCTCTTCAGGCCCTATTTTTGTTTTTGAGACAGGGTCTCACCATGTAGCCCTGGTGAGGCTAGGATTAAAAGTGTGTGCCACCAAGCCCAGCTCTGAGTTTCTGTTTTCTTGGGACAAGTTTTCACTACATAGCTGAGGCTGGCCCCGAACTCATGCTCCTCCTGCCTCAGTTTCCCGACCGCTGGGATGACAGGCCTGTGCCACCACCCCAGGTTTATACTTCAGTTTAAAGAGCTGCTGTGGCTGCCAGCCACACCGAATGCAGCAGAATGGAGTGGTGGCCGGGGTGCATTTCCTGTCCTTTTGTCTAATGGTGGCAGAGGGACACAGTTAAGACCCAGGATTCTGGGGCTGGGCAGCCTGGGATCACATCTCTCACTGTTTCCTACTGTAGGAATGAGGTCAAATCCTTTCTTTGCCTCAGTTAATTAATTAAAATGGTGTCTTGAGTGGTGTATGATTGTGGGTGCTTGTGTGCACGCATGTATGATCCACACACTTGGGTGTGCACCTATGGAGACCACAGGTCAAGTTTGGATGTCTTCCTCCGTCTCTTAACACTTGTTTTTCTGAGATAGGGTCTCTCTTTGAACCTGTAGCTCATCGCTTGGCTAGACTGGCTGGCTGCAGATGCCCAGCATCCTCCTGTCTCTACCCCCCAGTGCTGGAGTTACAGAGGTGCTGCTGCACCTGGCCTTTTACTGGGAGCGTCATTCACACCGACAGTGAATCCTCATTCAATGGTCATTATGTTGTCCAGAGTCTTCATTGTTATGCTCACAACTGCACAAGTCCGTGCAACATCCTTGTTCTTGGCTTTGTGGGGGTTTTTTTTTTTGAGACAAGTCCGTGCAACATCCTTGTTCTTGGCTTTGTGGTTTTTTTTTTTGTTGTTTTTTTTTTTAAGAGACGCCTAGGCACAGTTTGAACTACTTCCCCAAGAACACACAGATAGGAAGCCCAGGAGTGGGGTTCTCACAAAGCAGCCTGACTCTGGAGTCTGTGTTTACCTCGATACAGTAAAGCATACCTTACTTTAAATGAGAACAGAGGGGCTGGAGAGATGGCTCAGTGGTTAAGCGCACTGGCTGCTCTTGCAGAGAATCCACATAGTGGCTAACAACCATCTGTAACTCCAGCTCCAGGGGATCTGACACCCTCTTCTGACCTCCATGGGCACTGCATGACATGGGTGCACTTACCATGCAGGCAGTACACTTATACACATAAAAAAAACCAAGAATACACTGAACTACAATCCCAGCATGTAGGATGCTGACACAGGAGGATTGTGAGTTTGAGGCCAGCCTGGGCTGTGTAGTAAGATCCTATCAAGAAAAAAAGAAGATAGTCCTTAATGGTGCTGACAATGTAATATGTAATCTTGGCTACACGGCAGGGGGGGTGGGAGGGGAGCTGAGGAAGGAGAGTGGACAGTTCAAGGTCAGCCAGAACAACTTGCCAAAACTATCTCAAAATTAGAAAATACAAAAAGAACTATGGGTATATCTCTGATAGAGAACTTGCCCAGAATCCCCCAGTGAGGAGCTGGGGCATGGCTCAGTGATAAAGCACTTGTCTAGAATCTTCCAGTGAGGGACTAGGGGCCTGGCTCAATAGTAGAGCACCTGTCCAGAATCCACCAGTGAGGGGCTGGGGGTGTAGCTCAGTGGTAGAGCCCCTGCCTAGAATCCCCCAGTGAGGGGCTGGGGGTGTGGCTCAGTGGTAGAGCCCCTACCTAGAATCCCCCAGTGAGGGGCTGGGGTGTGGGTCAGTGGTAGACCATCTGTCTAGAATCCTCCGTGAGGGGCTGGGGTGTGGGTCAGTGGTAGAGCACCTGTCTAGAATCCCCCAGTGAGGGGCTGGGGGTTTGGCTCAGTGGTAAAGTACCTTGTCTCCTATGCACAAGGCTCTGGGTTTCATCCTTAGTACTGAAAATACACAGTTTCAAGGACTGCTGAGACTGCTTAACGCTCTGAACAAAAATCACTTGGCAGCATGACAAGGACAGTGGGAAGTGGATATTTGTCCTTTGGACACTAGCAAGTACCTGTTGCCACTGCTAACCTCATCCTGTTCTCTTGTCAGGCCATCTGCCCAGGGGCCGAGCCTTGGTCAGGCAGAAAGCAGTTGGAGAATCCTGTTCGCAGGCCACATGACCAATTCAGGAAGGGGCCAATCAAAACTACTGGGACACTGTAAACTGATGTTCAGGCCTCCATGGGATTCTTTCTGCTGAGCAGAAGCTGAGTGGCTGCCGGTTATGTTCAGGAGGAATCTCGTCTGCAGGAGGAGCCAACAGGGTGGGAAGCAACTCAGAGCCGCCACCACAGAGCTGATGACCTGGCTGGAGCACTTGAAAGAGTCAGGACTGAAACCACCCATGGGTGACGGAAGTCAACTCAGTGAGCTGAGGTGCTTTTCTGGAAGTAACATGTGGATGTCTGGCATGCGGAGTGGTGGGGAGGCCAGTAAGTGTGGGGAGAAACAGGACAAATGCCATTTGCCACAAGCCACTAGGTGTCCCGAGGCCTGCACGAATAGGCTGTGTCCCTGACACTGCTGGGTGAGGCTCCCTTCTATCCCCCACAGGATCTGTGTCACCTGTCCTCAGGGCATAGAGGTCACAGACTCAGTTCTCCGAGTATACTTGGTCCCCAGCTGGCTCATGACAGGTCTGGAAGAGCCTGTCATATGTAACCAGCATTCTACAGCAGGCTGGCTGACTGGTACCTGTCCTCCCTGTTGTGAGCACAGAGGACTGGACCATGAGAGAGACCAGCTTGGGAAGCTTGGGACTTTGTAGTTATGTGTGACAGAGGCAGCCAGTGAGGACACAGAGGGGCTCCCCTGAATCCCTCTACCCAGGCCACATAGGCCACCAGCATAGGTTTTCAGGTATCATGACAGATACATGGTGACACCAGTCACAGGAGACTAAAAAGCCAGCATCAGTCCACAACACTGCCCCCCAAGACTCCGAAGTGGACACACACTAAGGCCAGTGGTAAACTGGCCTGGCTCCTGTTCACCCGAAAATACACATGGGCCCATGTCCTCATCAGGGCCTGAGACTCCCTTAGAACCTTTGGAATGTGACATATGCTGTCCTTGGATTTCAGGGTCTGCTCCCAGCCCCTGCTTGAACTGACTTGTATCTTCCCAGGAGTCTTTACCCTTACCTCGGGGATTGTCAATCACACTGGCTGTGGGGTGGAGGTTCACACAGTCCACCCACCCTGTAAAGACCAGCCCAGTAGACATGATGTGCACGCAGCTGCCACCACCCCTTGGGTTGTGAAGACTAAATCTTCAAAGGTGAGTCCCTGGGGTCCCTGGACACCAGCTGTGCTTCTCAAGACTCCATGGTTCCAGACCCCAGAAGGCTCCCACAAGCCCTCATTGCACAGAGAGAGAGAGAGAGAGAGAGAGAGAGACTCATTATCAGCACCAAGCATACAATACTCAGGGCAGAACTGTGACCTCTCAGAGCCCCAGAGTTTCTTCAGAAACCTCCCTCCCCTAGGACAGGGCTGTATCTCCTTTGATCCTAGGGTAAAACATAGTTTTTGTGCGGTTCACAACCTATGCAACTGTGTGCAACAATCTTGGCACCATTGCACCATCCTCCGCATTATTATTATTATTATTATTATTATTACTACTGCAGCAAGGTTCCCGACTGAACCTGCCACTCACCTATCTGACTAGGTTGGCTGGCAGGTGAGTTCCGGGGGGGTCCCGTCTCCATCTCCCCAGCACAGACGCATACCACACTGTAACCAGCCTTTTGTGTGTGTTCTGGGAATCCAACTCAGACCCTCATACTTGCATGGCAAGCACTCTACTTTCTTTTTTTAAATATTTTATTTATTATTTTTATTTTATGCGTATGAATGTATTGCCTGTGTGTATGTGAGTGCACCTGTGTCGTGCGATGCTGCGGAGGTCAGAAGAGGGCTTTGAATTCCCCTGGAACTGGAGTTAAGGATGGTTCGTAGCCGCCATGTGGGTGTTGGGAATCAAACCCAGGTCCTCTGCAAGAGCAGTCAGTGCTCTTAACCGCTGAGCCATCTCTCCAGCCCCTTGACATCTTTTCTAATGAAAGTTGCGGTCTCTGCCCCCTCCCTGTAAAGTCCAGTCAAGCTGGTAGCTGTGTTGACTGATAGACTGGCAGAAATGAGGCTGGGGGTGTCAACGAAACTGCTGAAATACTCACTGTGGCACCCTGGGGCACCTCGTAAACAATGCAAAAATACTGAGCCAGTCAAAATAGGAAAAAAATCTCAAATCAACTCAGAGAGAAGATGAGTTGGTGGTCCCAGTGGAGACCAGCTCTCCAACCTCCAGCCGGGACACAGAAGCCTCTGCAGCCCATATTCACCAAATCGCTCCATCCTTTCCATTTCCTAGCTGACTTTGGGACTTGATGGAGCAGACACAGCTGTTCCTGTCTAACTCTCTCTGCCACAGAACTCTGAGAACCTAACAATGGTTATTACTTCCCTGCTAGGTTTGGGCGGTTTGTTTTGCAGAGCAGCGGCTCCTTGAATAGCTTCCATCATTAGAACAGCGTTGCTTTTTATACAGAAATTGAAATCCATCTCCCTAGTACTCTGCTAGTTGAACCTTCCCAGCAATTATTTTTGAATGTAAAATGAATTGCCTTCACAGCCCTTGTTGATCAAGGCAGTGTTTCTACTTGAGAGAGAACTGGTGCAGGGAAGAAACCACACATTTCTCTCTGTGTTTGACTGCGAAGATGCCAATGGCCACACCATGCACAGAGCCTCAGTTCCGATACGCCCAGAGGCTTTTCTGTAGGCAAAAGAGTAGACTTGAGCTGGGTGTGGAGGTACAGGTCTGTTACCCCAGCACCTGGGAGGCCAAGGCAAGAGAATAGCAGATTCCAGACCAGCCTGGGCTATGGTTATGGATTGAATCTCAAATGCCACCAAAGTCTCATGTGTTTGTAACACTTGGTTCTCATCTGGTGATGCTGTTCTGGGAGGCTGTGGGACCTTTGCAATGGGAAGTCTAGCTGGGCACATGGGTCACTAGGGGTGGGCCTTCTGAGGTTATAGCCAGACTCTGCATCCGGTCCTGTCCACTAAGATGTGAGGAGCTGCCACCTCCCACTCCTGCCACTGTGGACCAAGCTGCTTCAGCCACTGATCCTTTCCCACCATGATGGACTGTTGTTTCCTAAGTCAAAGTAAACCTTTCCTCCCTTAAGTTGTTTTTGTCAGGTATTTTGTGACAACATTATGAAAACAAATACAGCTACATATTGAGATACTGTCTCAAAAACCCAAACCAACCAAACAAAAAGCCCCAAACAGTATACGCCTGTGATCATAGCACTCAGGAGGCTGAGGCAGGAAGATCAGGAGTTCACAGTCATTCTCAGCTACGTAGTGAGTTTGGGGCCAGCCTGGGCTACATGAGACCCTGTTTAAAGAATAGTGTGGGGGTTGGAAAGATGGCTTAGTCATTAAGAGCACTTGCTGTTCTTCCAGAGGACCCAAGTTCAGTTCCCAGTTCCCTGTTGGGAGGCTCACAGCCTCCAGTAACTTCAGAGGATCTGATGCCCTCTTCTGACCTCTTTGGGCATCTGCATGCACATGGTGTGCATACATTTTTTTTTTATATATATAAACATAAAATCAATCAATAAAAATCTTTTTAAAAAGCCAGGCATGGTGGTGCATGCCTTTAATATCAGCATTCAAGAGGCAGAGGCAGGTGGATTGCTGTGAGTTCAAGGCCAGCCTGGTCTCTGTAGTGAATCCAGGCCAGCTGTGGCTACAGGGAGACCCTGTTTCAAAAAAACCAAAAAAAAAAAAAAAAACAACAACAAAAACAAAAAAAAAAAAAACAAAAAAAAAAAAACAAAAAAAAAAAAACAAAAAAAAAAAAACAAAAAAAAAAAACCTGGGGGCTGGAGAGATGGCTCAGAGGTTAAGAATACTGGTTGTTCTTGCAGAAGACCCGAGTTCGAATCCCAGCACCCACACGGCAGCTAACAACTGTCTGTAACTCCAGTCCCAAGGGATCTGACAGCCTCTTCTGACCTCCGCAGACATTGCATGACACGGGTGCACTTACCTACATGCAGGTAATATACGCATATACATAAAATAAAAATAAACAACAACAACAACAACAACAAAAACCCCCACAAACCACAACAGTGTGAACAAGAATGATAAAAGAAAAATGGTTAATGGAGGCTGAAAAGCCAAGACCGGGCACCCCATCAGTTGATCCCATTAGAGTCTCACAGCGATGGTGGGGGCAGAGAGTGAAGATGTCGGAGGAACTCAGAGTGCCAACCTCCACTCTCCCGCCGCGCAGCTTACTGACTCTTGGCGTCCCTCTGTGGTTTCCATCTGGTATGCCTTTTTACAGCTTCCCACGTTGGAAGCTTCAACCCCAAGGATTAAGAGGTGGAACCTTTAAGAGGCGGGGCCTAGTGCAAGGAAATGTGGGGTGCTATGCTGGGAGGGGAGGCCCCAAGAAAGTAGTTATTCCAGAAAGAGCAATAATAGCGCCTGCCTGTTCTCTGGCTGTGTTGCTGATCCATGATTCTTTTTCCATAGGCGGAATTGATCTTGAGTTTTCAAATCTCTCTCTCTCTCTCCCAGGCTGGCTTCAAATTCACAATCCTCCTATCTCCTGAGTGTTGGGATTCCAAGTGTGCACCATCTTACTTGGCTTAAATTTACTCTTTTACATTTTAAAAATATTTTATTTATTTTTATTTTACATGTATGAGTGCATTGCCTGCACGTATGTAAGTGCATCAGTGTCGTGCAATGCCCGAGGAGGTCAGAAGAAGGCATAAGATTCCCCTGGAACTAGAGTTACCGATGGTTGTTAGCGATCATGTGGGTGCTGGGAACTGAACCTGGGTCCTCTGCAAGAGCAGCCAGTGCTCTTAACCACTGAGCCATCTCTTCAGTCCCATGAGTTCCTATTTTTAATCAGTTAAGATTACAAGAAGCTAAGGACTAGAAAGATAGTTCAGTGGTTAACAGCACTGACTAACAATTGCCTGTAACTCCAGTTCTAGGGGATCTGACACTTCTACCTCCCTAGGCCTTGCGTGCACAGGTGCACTTACATACATGCAGGCAAAACACTCATACACATAAAATTAAAATAAATAAATAATTTTTAAAAAACAGATTACGGGACACTGGACCTGGTCACCCCAGTGCTGGTCAATCCCCAGCACTTGGGAGGCTGAGGCAAAAGGATTATCATATATTCAAGGCTAGCCTGGACTACATAGTGAGTTCCAGATGAGCCATGGCTATGTAGAGACACCCTTTCTCAAAAAAGAAAAAGCAAAAAGAAATAAATAAAATTAGACTTTGAAAAAAATCACAAGAAACATACATGATGGGCACCTTTTTTCTTTTTGTAGCGCTAGTGACTGACAGCCACCGCCTTTCAGTGCTCACAGTGGAGGGGCAGTAGCACCCCCTGGTGGCTCTCCAGGCTACAACAAAGGTCTGCAGATATGGGGAGAGGCAGGGAAGAGGAGGGGGAGGGAACCTCCCCCAAGAAAAGCTGAGATTAAGCCCCTCAGAGCCCAGCCCCCACCCAGGAAGAGGTGGGGTCTCAAACTGAACTCAAGAGGCAGGTTGCCCCTGTCTCTGTCCCACAGGACTTTAATTTTTGTTGGCCCCAAAACGGATGCCTTTTTGTTGTTCATTGGGCATCTATGTCCACTTTTTCTGGAAACAGCTTTTTATTTTCCTTCGAAGAATCTCCCTCACTCAGTTCATGTGGCTCTGAAGGCCTGGGCCACCTGTGCCCAGACTGCACCTCAGGTGTTTGCTGATTGGACACGTACACGTCTCAACTGACCGTTAAGGCTGGGCTTTGTTGGGACATTTTTCTTTCAAGGTTACTGTGAAAGAAGTGTTTCTTGGGGCTGGAGAGTTGACTCAGCGGTTAAGGGCACTGGCTACTCTTGCAGAGGACCCAGGTTTGATCCCCAGCACCCACACAGTGGCTAACAACCGCCTGTAACTCCAGTTCCAGGGGAATCCAAAACCCTCTTCTGACCTTCACAGGCATTCTACAGCACTGGCGCGCTTACATACATTCAGGCACTCATACACATAAAATAATTAAAAACTAATAAAATATTTTTTAAAAGAGGTGTTTCTTTTTCACTGATGCTGAGAACCTGGTCCATGTGCCTGGGGTTTATGTACAGGTGGAGTGTATTTAGATTCTCTTTATAGGGAGGCTTGCTAGGAAATGAACCTGACAGAGTAAAGGAGATTTGAGAGCAGCTGAACTGAGCAGTACCTGAAGTCAGGTTCTCCTGGGTATTTTAAATCCTCCCTCTTCCTCCTCCTCCTCCTCGTCCTTCTTTTTGGGGTTTTGTTTGTTTTTTTGAGACAGGGTCTCCCTGTAGCCCCAGCTGGCCTGGAACTCACTATGTAGACCAGGCTGACCTCTATCTCATATAGATCCACCTGCCTCTCCCTCCCAAGTGCTGAGATTAAAGGTATGCACCACCATGCCTGGTTTTGTTCTTTCTTTTTTAAAATATATTTTATTTATTATTTTTATTTTATGTGTATGAGTGCATTGCCTGCATGTATGTAAGTGCACCCATGTCATGCAATGCCCTCAGAGGTCAGAAAAAGGTTTTGGAATCCCCTAGAACTGGAGTTACGGACAGTTGTTAGTCTCCATGTGGGTACTGGGAATTGAACCTGAGCCCTCTGCAAGAGTAACCAGTGTTTATCTTTTGTCTCCCTATCCCTCGGCTGGCCTGGAGCTCACTATGTAGACCAGGCTATCCTTGAACTCACAGAGATCCATCTGCCTCTGGCTCCCAAGTGCTGGGATTAAAAGCGTGAGCCACCACACCCACTGTAACCAGTTCTCTTAACCACTGAGCTATCTCTCTATCACCCATTGTTTTGTTTGTTTGTGTGTTTTTTTGAGACAGGGTCTCACTCTGTAACTCAGTATGTAGCCTAGGCTAGCCTTTAACTTCTAAGTGATCCTACCTCAGCTTCCCAAGTGTTGAGGTATAGGCCTGAGCATCAAATCTGGCTTGAGTCTTCTTCAAGCTGGTGGGAATTGAGGGACCACACTTCTTGCTTGATTTGTGTCAAGCCCTCATTCCTCTGTGCTCCCCCACAAAATGTCCACATTGCTGTTTAAGTTTGAAATTAACAGACCCATTAATCAAAACCACCTTTATTATTTAAAGAGCATCCTGCCATGGGATGCCTGGACAGGAGCCCCCAGAGGGCAGAGTAATATTTACATGGATGTGGGAGGGTGAGGCTAAGCAACCCCAGTACTGAATGGGCCAGCCACTGTGGAAGAGGTGTCCTTGGACCTGTAGACTGGGCCCAAGAAGAAAACTGTTCCATCCCAGGCCCAGGATGGAGCCTTCCGTGGGGGGCTGAAGCCCCGAGACCAACTTGGGCCCTGGAGGCGTGGGCAGCGCAGAGCAACGAGGAGATGGGGGTCAGGGCTGGGTCACCATGCCACTGGCTTCGGAGTGAGTCTGGGGAAAGAGCCATGGGCTTCTAAGCTCTGAGATGCTTCTCCTAACACCCTGTAATTAGTATCCACTCTCAGAAGCTGGTTAGAATCCATCTGTTCTCTAGGGAGGGCCTCTGGTAGGTCTGAGTACTAGTCTCCCCCAGACTTCTGCCTTTTAAAATTTTGGGGGGATTTACTTATTTTTATTATATGTAAGTTTTGCCTGCATGTATGTAAGTGTGCCATGCGTGTACAGTGCCAAGAGGCCAGAAGACGGCATTGGATTGCCTGGAACTGAAGTTACAGACGGTTGTGAGCTGTCATGTGGGTGCTGGGAATCAAACCCGGGTCCTCTGCAAGAGCAGCCAGGGCTCTTAACTGCTGAGCCATCTCTCCAGCCCCTGTCTTTCGTATTAGAGTTCCGGGCAGTCTCAAGCTGGGCCAGCTCACCTTTATGGCCTGGAAGATCCACTCTCGGAAGTCAGTGACTTTGGTGTACACGCCCGGCTTCTGGGCCAAGGCACAGCCTGTCCCCCAGCTCACAATGCCACACAACCGCCATCGAGAAGTCCCAGAGATGCTGTCCTCACACACGAAGGGACCACCGCTGTCACCCTGGTGGTGGTGGGGGAACAGGACACCTATCTGGAGGCCACGATGACTCTAGTGGGGAGCCCCATTCCCATTGCCCTGACTCCTCTAGAGTGGTGGACCCCCGTGCTACACTCACACAGTCCCTCACCTGGCAGGCATCAATACCGCCCTCGGGGTAGCCAGCACAGAACATCTTGGGTTTGATCTGATTCCCATAGAAGTCGGGGCTGTTGCAGACCTCGTTGCTGATGATGGGGACCCGGGCCTCTTGGAGCACCACAGCCTGCTGGCCTGGGTAGGGGGTAAAGTGGCCAGAGCTGGGGAGCAAGCTCTTCTTCCTGGGGCCCATCCCATGCCTTATGGGGTCCCTGTGGGGTTCATCCAGTCCTCCCACCCTCCCCTAGAGCTGCTCAGGATCCCTCCTGGTGGCGTGACAGGCAGGACTCAGGACTCACCATAGTACTGTGTGTTACCCCAGCCTGTCACAGTGCAGATCTTGCCGTCCACCAGGTCCTGGCCCGCAGCGGGGAGACACACAGGCTGGATGTATTCTGTAAAAGGGACTAAACGGTCTAGCCCCTGCTGGCCTGCCCCACCTGGGACACAGCTGTCTAGCCACCTCATCACCTCCACATGCCCCCAGTGCATGCTTTCCTAGCCTATAAGAACTTTCATCTCCCTGTGTATGGGCCACTTTCCTGAATCATTTCCTTTCATCTCCCATCTTCCTAGGGAGGTGACATCATTGACCTTAGTCCCAGAAGAGACAGAAGCCAAGTCTCATACAAGTCAATGAATTGGAACCCAGGTTACTTGATTCCCAAACCCGTTCTCTTAACCACAGGGCTACCCCCCAGCCTAGAGGCAAGAAACAGGAAAATACACCCCTATTTTGAGACCCTTGATCCCCATCTTCAGAAAAGCATTGTATTTGACACACAGGCGTTCTCTGAGCTTAGCACCCCTAAGATGGGACGTCTAAGGTGACGGGTGTATCCTTGTGCAGTGTGCAATGCAGGCAAGCTGTCCTGGCAGCCTTCACCACTCTCTTGGTGGTGACTCAGGCTGCCTCAGCCTCAGAGCCTCGATATAGACTGGGCACCGTAATAATACCCCAGAGAAACGTATCCTCAGGTGATTTTGTCATTGTACACACATCCTAAGAGTGTCCTTCATAAAAAGTAAGGTGGCTGTGACGTCAGGAGGCCGTCTTATCTCACAGGACCGCAGTCACATAGATACTTTCTGACCAAAACAATTTTATGCAACACATAGCTGTATTTGGTCCCTGCGTACTACTCTGGCTTGTATTTATTTCCTTTTTATTCTTACTTATTTTTGGTTTTTTGAGACAGGGTCTTGCGATACAGTGCAGGCTGGCCTCCAACTCATGATCTTTTAGCCTCAGCTGCCCCAAGTGCTGGGATGACAGGCATGCCCCACCACGCCTGCCTCACCAGACTCCTTAATTTTACATCTCAATTCAATCCACTTATTTAGGGGGAGGGTGTGGTCACAGATTTACTGAGGTATCTTTACTTAGCTTTATGGAATATATAACTCACATGTCATACAATTCTCTGTGTTGAAGTGTACAGGTTGACGGCCTTGGTGTAGTCCCACATAGGTACACCCATTACCACTGCATCCCCCCACAAAACAAACCTCCAGTCGCATCATCTCCACATTCCCACCCCGACCTCCTCTCCTACCTGAGTCACTGCTAGCTCCCCTTCTGGTTTTTCTGTTTTTGCTTTTGAGACCATGTCTCATATAGCTCAGGCTGGCCTCAGACTCACTATATAGCCAAGGCTGGCTTTGAACTCCCGATCTTCCTGCCTCTACCTCATGAGTACTGGGATTCCAGGTGTGCAACACCGTTCCCATTATTATGACTACAAATGTTATAGGAACACTGATGTACCGTTTTCTGTGTGAGTATCTATATCCCTTCTCTTGGGTATAGGAAAGAAATCATTGGGTGAGACAATGACTTTAACTTTCTGGGAAGTGCCACACGGTTGTCTGAGGTGACTGTCCAATCATTTATAGTTCATTCCAGTTTGTGCTCCCTTAAGACCAGTCCATTATTACTGTGGAGACCAAAGGATGGATTTACTCTGCTCTACCCCTGTTCCTTCTTGGCCCCCAGGGTCTCTGGAGTCCCCTCTACTAAGGCTGGGCCTCCAGACTCACCTGTGAGGGGCAGAGGGCTGGAGAGGTGGACCAGAGCAATGTCATTACTGTTTTCTTCGCTGGTGGGGTCTCGAAAGGGAAGGTAGCCCCTGTGGTAGACCACAGCCTGAACCCCCAGTTGCACACCGTGGGGTGAAGTCCGGGCCACAGCACCAGCAAACACTCGCCATCGAGACAGAACCCGGTTCCGCCTGCCGGGACAGCAAGGACAGGTTCATAGGCCTGGTCTCTGCTGGCTTCTCCCCTGCCTCAACCCCGGTGGCACCGTGGAGGGCACTCACTCTGGGAAGCAGTGTGCAGCTGTCAGCACCCAGTCCCCCGACAGCAGGGATCCTCCGCAGAGGTGGGCCCCATCGTAGCGCAGGCTGACCTGCCAGGGCCACCTGCCCAGGCTGCTGTCCTGGCCCCCCACAATGCGGTCCACCGGCAGCTTTCGGCGGCCACAGTCTGTGGAAAGGGGGCAGGGTGGGATCTGAATGGGAGGGACCCAGGCTCCAGAATATGGATGTATCACCAGGGATCAGGGGGGAGACAGCCCTACATGGCAGACTGAAGATATGGCTTCTACCCCATGGGCAGTTTGAGCAGACATAACCTGGCTCTGACAGTTTGAGGGAACATAGCCTGCTCAGGGCAGTTTGGGGGAACCTGGCCCTGCTCTGGGCAGTTTGGGGAGGATACACCCTGCCTTGGTGAGTTTGAAGGGACATGACCCTGACCTTGGCAGGCATGCCCTACCTTGGGGAGTCTGGCAGGGGACAACCCTGCCCTAGGAAGTTTGGGGGACACACTCTGCCCTGGGGTCTAAGACCTGGCTGGCATCTATGGGAGGGTCTGAGGTGGAATCTCACCTTGGCAGATGGTCGTCACAAAACGGCCTCTGGGACAGTCACTGTGAGACATGGGGTTGGGGATAGAGAAACAAACCACGGGGGGGACCAGTTAAGATGACGGAGGGTGCCAGGGGCCCAGTGCCACCCGAAGTCACCCTGCTTACCACACAGAGATGACCTCCATCAGCCTTCGGGCCACGGGCAGGCGGCCCTCATCCACACAAAAGAAACCGGATGTACCATTGGCACCAGCAGTCTGCACGTCCAGCTCTGAGTGTGCCAGGGCCCTGTGAGGGGCACTAGTCAGAGCCACATCATGCACACACCCCCCGCCCCCTGGCCCAGTAGTTCAGTTACCTGACAAAGCCCATCTCCTCGCAGCCGAGCCCTGCCACCCTGGCGTTGGATCGTGAGGAGCACAGCAGCCTCCACGTCCCCTCGGTCTTGTCAAACACAGCCAGCCTTGCATCCCCAGGGCTGACCTGCACTGCAGGGTGACAGGGCCAGGCCTGGGTCCCACAGTGGCCTCCTGACCTGCAGCCCATCTGTAGCCCTGGGGCTCTACTTACACCCTTCACTGCCCAGTGGTGGCATCATCACTGAACACTGGGTTAGGTGGTACCAGTGACAGGGACCATCTCTCACCACTGGAATTCCTAAGCTGCTGGAACTTGAATTATCAGGGCTCGGGAAATAATTCCATCTGACTTCACAAGAGAGGAAATGGGAGGGTGGGTCTGAGTTGGGTCATCTCTCTTAACACAGAGGTAAGCCCAGATATCTTCTCTTGCTGCAGCCAGGCTTGGGGAACCCCCAGAAGGAGCCCGAAGATCCTTATCTAACTCACTAGGTTGTCAAAACATTTAAATAAATGATGGAGAAGGAAGAAAAGGAAGAGGAAGAAGAGATGGTAAGAAGAGCAGATGTGAGTAATCCTCACACTCAGAAGCCCAGACAAGAAGATTGTGAGTTCAAGGCCAGTCTGGGCTACATAGATACTATAAAAAATGGGGAGGAGGAATCATTTTTCCACAGGACTTGTCAGATCCTTGAATGTTAATATGCTCCAAGGAGAGCATACTGGGTAATTTCAATTGCTCAAGCATTGACTGGATATATATATATATA